TACCAACAACAAAGATAGGGTGCCTGAAATAGAGTTCTTGGAGTGGTTACCAAGCCGTCACATTCAGTAATTCTCCTGAGCCAAGAGAACCCAGCTAGGAGTTGCCCTCACTTTGCAAAATAAAAAATGCACCTTTGTATTTAAGTCTGCAAAATCTAATAGTAACTTTTTCGATTCCTTTAGAAATCGATCAACCCAAAGTTCATCAAGGTCTTTCCATTTTAACGAGGGAGAATTTATGGAAGAAATTATGATATTTCGGTTAAGCTCGAGAAATCCTCGATACGACTTATTGTTGATTGTTTGTAAATAAGAAGAGACCAGAGCTAGTGAATTGAAAAATTGGTTAGAAATTGAAATTTTTAGTATAGGAAGATAAGTTATAGAGCTTACCAATGTAACCATCGTATTCTTTACGAGCGGACATCTTTATTGTATTGTAAGAGATAGGGAAGAAGTTAAAGACGTCTTTATATTATATACCTGAACTGATCGCGTCTATGACGACAGCGAGTTGTTGCGCCACAATTCATTATTCATATGATGTTGATCACAAGCTCTACAATAATACATATAAGCTAAAGTATGTACTAAATATTTTTATGTAAAACGTTTTAAAATAGCTTTTTCTTCTTTTACTATGTATTATTTTCAAGTGTTTAATAAAATTTTATATGTTTTTGAGGTATTTCAAACCGCCGATCCAAAATTTTAAAAAATGTAGACAGAATATTAATTTTTCGTGTAGTTTTTTTTACATTTCGTCATTACCGTTTCACCATTTTTTTTTCATAGATTATATTGATTATCGGCAGAATCTGTCACTTTGTAGTATTCAATTTTAATAGCACTGATAATATTGTGTAACATTTGAGTTGGCCCCCTAGATATAAGCGCTAAATGTCATGTGACATTGAGCCAGATGACAACTTAATACAAAGTACTACGCCACGTTCTATGCTCAAGAAGATAGAAAAAATAAGAAACTGATGTGAGCTACAGGCCTCACTAATATTAATCTTGTGATATTTATCTGTAATTTAAACATGTATCGTAAACTATTGATTTATAAGAGATCAAAACTTTTGAATGCTTGATTAAATTTTTCATATCCTTTCTAAAATAACAATTTCTGGGTTTTGATCATACCATCTTTTTTGTCAATCACGATTAATGATGTCCTCAAATTTTTTGACATCCTTATACCAGCAAGTGCTATGAAGCCAATGTTAAGCCCCTTGCATCTCCAATACAATTCGATATTTTTGGAAGAAGACATCAAGCTCTAATCCATTCAAGAAAGAAGGATGATATTCAATCATAGGTTCCTTATTAAGGATTTTCTTAGCTATCTGGATGCATCTAGTCTGAAATTTGTGATTTTTCTTAGCTTCTCTTTCTACCTGATCTTGCTCTAGTTTTAAAATTCTAGCTTCAAGCTCGGTGAGCCTAGCTTTCTTGTCAGTTTTCTTATTCTTAAGCTCAGTGATAAATACTTCAAACTCAGATGTCATGATAGATAATATTTTCATATACGAAAGAATTATTCAATGTTATGTGCAAATGTAAAACCACTTTATTAATACATACAAAAAATAAATACAAAGATCAAGACTTCGTTCGTGATACATGATACTAATTTCCTAGGGAATCTGTTTCTATCCTAATGATAGTGAACTATTATATATGCTTATTTTTTGAGTGATAACCCTCTATTCTAGCTTTTTTCTTTGAGGAAGAATTATCTTCTGCATATGTCCTATCCCTTAATAACCCTACTATTATATCCAACACCTTCTTCACGCCACTTCGCAATGTTTGATATTCCTTAGAGTCTTTATTCAGAAAATTTGATGCTTAATGGTAGTTTACCACCTTGTGAGATTACCCCCAGAGTATACAGTAGGAAGTGCCAGTCCCAAGCTGTTGTAACAATGCCATAGAGATAATCAAAATCATCATCATCACCCTGCTTTCGTTTCTTCTTATTCATTTGAAAGGAATTCTCGAGCTGTTTTATATTCTAAGCGAAGCCTTCGATTATGTTTTGCTGTGATTTGTCTTCAGTGACACAAATAAAGTTCTCGGCCTCCTGAAAGGGATGTATGAATGATATTAGTATATTCTCGAATGAAGTGAAAAATGTCAAGAAATTAGCATGAATAAAATTCATAGAAAAAATATCCCATTACCTTGATTGCGAAGTCAATTCGTCTTGAACTTTCATCACCTGTTACTTCATATTCAGGCCTCATACTAAATTTTCTCACTGTCGCATCCCTTATAATATTTATCGAATTGTCATGACATACTTATTACGCATAGCTTCCAAACTATCCACAACCAAAGACCCATAATTTTTTAGCCTGACTAAAATCTTCACTATACAATGCTCGAAGTGCTTATCAGTGTCTTGAATTTTATGAGTTTGTAGTAAAAAATCAGAATGATATCTGTACTATTGGAGTCTATACCATATTTTGCCAACACTTCTTTCAAACTTTGTACAAAGAGAACGCACGCTTGGACTTTTCTTTGAGGATCTAGATCTCTTTTGCAAGAAGTATTGCTGATCTCAACGCAAAGCCAACACTACAAAATTTTTCTTCGTTCAGGTCAAGAAAGGAGAGGCCGATAATTTCTTTCTTGTGAAGAATATCGAAGTGTTTTTTCTCAAGCTTGAGGTTTTGCTCTTTCAAAAAATCGATAAGAGTCTCTGTGTCCCAGTTCTTAACCAAGTAAGAGTTGTGTTCAGCTGTTGAGATAGACATAGCACTTTATAGGGATATTTTGGCTCGGATAAAAAAGTGTGTTATGTTTGCCAAAGACTGAGTGAGATAAAATTTATTTATTTTTTTTTTAACTCTGGTCTGAGATAAAATTTATTTCTGGGAAAAGCCAGGTATTAATATATGATTTTATGTCGCACAAAATGTCACATTATTATACGTGATCCGTTTCTCATATACTGTACATATATTCGATAAAAATAATAATAATACTTTATTTATGTAATAAAAACGTTACCAGAATCTGGCCTACAATACATAAAAATTGTGACTATAGCGCTATATGATATAGAAGATTATTCTGACTAGGGTATACAGTGATATGGAAGTGCTCTGCTTTAGGCTCCTCAGTAAAATAATCAGAAATATTAGCATGCCCATTTATTACCTTTTTATTATTGCTTCCAGCTTGAATTATACATAATTATTTTGAGTGGGATGTCAACCCTAATCTGCTTTGAATTATAGCTTCGAGAAAGCTATACAGTAGCGGTCATAAGTATCTGACCGCCCAAGATCGTCTAAAATTATTATATAACTACCCCTTAAATTTTCCAG